AGCCCCATCTCTCCTCACCCAGAAGTCCAACAAGAGGAAATCCGCCGGGAAAACAGAATTGATGGGGCTTAGCATTACAATCCAAGGGCGCAGCTGTTTCCCTTCTTGGCATGATCTTAAATTCAACACTCTAAGAATGGTCAGGTTTTTCTTTCTCCCTAGAGACTGTGACCATATCATCTTATTATCTATTTCAGGTTTCTGTGTGTGTGTGTGTGTGTGTGTGTGTCTGTGTGTGTGCTATTGACCCCTATGGTGAAATCTATAGGCACCTTCTCAAAGTAACATATTAAATGCATAAAATAAAATTCACAGGATTGCAAAGGAAGCCAGCTATATTAAAATGTAGTTATCAAAAATATATGTACACATTATTTTTTAAAAATAAAAATACACTAGAAGCACAGTAGATAGAGCGCTGGGCCTAAAGTCAGGAAGACCTGAGATCAAATATGGCCTCAGATACTTACTAGCTGTGTGACCCTGGGCAAGTCACTTAATGGTTTGCCTTAGTTTTCTCATCTGTCAAATGAGCTGGAGAAGGAAATGGCAAACCACTCCAGTATCTTTGCCAAGAAAACCTCAAATGGGGTCGTGAAGAGTCAGACATGACTGAAACAACTGAACAATAATGAAATGCTAGGTTAAGAACCTCTAACCTATTTAGAGCAAGAAAAGTCTCTAAATTTAAATTTAAAAAAAATTCCTAATAGGGAAATCCCTTCTGTTGATGTAAAGACTCTTCTACAACTTTGAGTCTTAAGGAAACACCTGGAGGCCCTAAAACATAGAGACTTGACCAGAGTCACACAACCAGAATGTGTTCTGGGCTGAACTTGAACACAAGGTTTCCTGTCTCTGAAGTCAGCCCTCTATCCACTAAACCAAGTTAACTTTCCAGCTACTGATGCAATAACAAAATAAATAAACAAACACTATGTGTATTAAAAAGGGAAAGATTGTAACTAGACTGGGAAATTATTGAAAGAAATTAAACTTATGTTTGTTTTACCTTTTCCTCTAATGCTAAATCTTTTTGTATACATAAGCAATTTGAGGGGTATGCAAACCTGTTATTTCATTGCTATAAGGAAGTGGTAAGAAACTCCCTCCACCAAGGAAGATCAGCAGTAGTTTTCCAACTTAGAACATTTAAGAGTTTTTGAGGAAGATTGAGAGCCTAAGTGCCTAAGCAAGGGTTCTGTGTCTCGTGGGCCCTTTTGGCATTTAGGTGACATCTATGGAACCCTTCTCAGAATAATGTTTCAGTGAATAAGATGAAATACCTAGGATCACAAAGGAAAGTAATTATATTGAAATTCAGGCATCAAAATGTATATTAAGAAAAAAAAAGTTCAAGGACTAGGGTTCCTTAGTCCCCTGACCCTAAAGTTACCCAGCCAGCAGGTGCCAGGAGCAAATCTTAAATCGAGATCTTCCTGACCTCAAAGCCACCTATCCATCCACTATACAATGTTATCTCTAATAATCTATGATTTCATTGATAGAGGGACTTCTCTTGGGAGGAAGCTCCCTCTATCGGGGCAGATCAACACTAAATGGTTAAGTTACTTGCCCAATATCACTTAAACTAATTAAGACAAACACACTTTTTATTAATTGAAGCATCTGAAATTTGGTCAGTATGGATTCTCCCTCCACCCACACAGGCTGTAACCCTTAATTAATTAATAGAATATCTTGGAAAGTTGCTATGGCTGAAACCTCCAATCCTCTGGAGATAACTTGATAATGAACCTGTCTGAATTTAGCTAGGATGGCCCTCAGACAATATGAGGTAAAGCCCATCCTCGGGTCCACACTCTAAGACTATGTACCTTAACCTTGAATCCACATACCTTAAGACATTCATAAACTTGGATAGGAAAAAAAATCATCTTTATTTCAATGTGTTTTTATTTCTTTGTAATCCATGTATTTTACTTTATACTTTTAGAGACATTATTGTAAGAAGGGGTCCATAAGCTGTACCAGAATGCCAAAGGGGTCCATGACACAAATAAGGTAAAGGATATCTGATCTAAAGTTTTCTTGTTTGGCAAGTGCATATGATTAATAATAATAATAATATTAATAAACATTTATATAATTCTATGTGCCAAATCCTTTACTTCTGATTATTTCACTTGATCCTCACAATAACTCTGGGAACTTGGTGCAATTATTATCCCCATTTTATGGCTGAAGAAAATGAGACAAACATAAATTGACCTCTCAGGTCACGCAGCTAGTAACATCAGAGGCCAGATTTGTACTTGGGTCTTCCTGACTCTAAGCCCAGCCCTCTATCCACTGCACCACCTAGCTATCTCACATTCCCCTACTGCACTGTAGCATTAGAGAACTCTGAATGACCTGAATGGCACTATGGAGCATTAGAATAGGAACTGAACAGACACATTTATCCAAACGTAGAAACTGCTTTATCATGTAGACAATATTCAAAGTTAATGTTTTTGTATGATGACCTTCCTGATTGCTATACATTTAATATGTCTCTAAGTCTTCCATTCTAGTTTTGCTTAAAGTAAGGCCATGGAGCTGGAGACCTTTGGTTTTTTTCTTTGTAGTCCCAGCTTGTAGTACAGTGCCTTGCTCATAGTAAGCAGAGTGGCAGGTGGCAGAGTGGATAAAGCACTGGGTCTGGAGTCAGGAAGACTCATATTCCTGAATTTAAATCTGGCCTCAGACCTTACTAGCTATGTGACTGTGGCCATGTCAATTAATCCTATTTGCCTCAGTTTACTCATCTGTAAAATGAGCTAGAGAAGGAAATGGCAAAACACCCCAGAATCTTTGCCAAGAAAACCCCAAATGGGTTACAAGGAATCAGAAATGACTGAACAGCAGCAAGAAATAAATACTTGCTGATTGATGGACATTTCATAATTCCTTCTAGCTGCAAAGATTAAATGAAGACACAGTTATTACAGATTCTCCAATATCGATGCTACTCTACTCTAGGAATAGTAGATAGAGTATCAGCCTCAGAGGAAGAAAGACTGTTCAAGTCCCATTTCTGAAACTTACTGGCTGGGCCAATCACTCAAACCTCTCAGTATCAGATGGTAACTCTCAAGAATATGCATTGCAGAAGAGTTGCCAAAGTGCATTGGAAGAGGGAGTTTCCTCACTGGGTACTCTCTGTACCAAACAAAATCCCAAGTCCAGACGATGGCGGGGGGGGGGGGAGTCAGAAAGTACAGAAGATTTCATAGTGAGAAGAGTTTTGAAGCCATGGACCAAGATCTGAATCTTATCTTTTGTACTTATCACCTCTATGACCTGGAGCAAGTCACCTCATTTTTCTTGGTTTCCTCAACTGCTAATTTAAGGTGTTGGATTAACAAACAATCTCTTAACATTCTGTCCAGCGCTAAACCCATGACCCTGTATTACTTCCCTGAATTTGACAGATGTTGGTGTTTCACTGTCATGTGTTGTAGTTCTACAAGGACGTATCTTAAAGGATATTTAGCCATGGGTTTTTGGTTTTGCTTCCGTTCCTTCTTGAACTGAGTTGAAGAAGGGCGATACTTATTTGTGGGTTATTTTTACTAGGATTTCTTTTTTTTTTTTAAAGACGGAAGTCCAACTCAAATGAAAGTGTGCTTTCTTCTGTTTCTTCCCGTTCCTCACTTGTTTCTGTTCCACTATCCATGGCATATCTGATAACAATGGATCTGTGAGACTGAACCCTTGATCCAAGAAGAGAGGACCTTAAAACATGGAATTATAAGCTCCTTGAGGCCAAAGCTTGCTTTCATTTTTGTCTTTGTATTCCTAATGCCTAGCACAATGTCTAGTAGGTGCCTAATAGATGCTTGTTGAATTGTATTGAATTGAATCTTCTCTCACTAAGAGGTGGTAAGAGGCCAGTCCAACTGCCTTGAACAGAATTCACCAAAAGAGAAAAAAAATTTTTTCTCAGTAAAGCATGAAGTGTCTGTTCTATTCTTTCTTCAAATACTTCTCAATTTGACTTTTGATAATTATGTAGGTTACAAGGTAGGTGAAAGTTTCCACAGTTTTTACAGCTGGAAAGAATCAACCACTATTCTCAATTGGAACATTGGAATGTTCAACACAGGTAAATTGCTCATAAAGACTAATGATACAATTTCATCCCAAGTTCACATATCCCCTCAATTCTGCCTTGCCTTATTAACAGTTTTATTTTTCAGAAGGAGAACTTTGTGCTCCTATTCCCTTTTCTAATCTTTTTCCTGCAAGGTAAACAATAATAACTGGGAACTATGATGTTTAGCCACCTGTGAAAGTTCAGAATTTTAATAATATAACGTACCTAAAGAGGTGATTATGATAGTTAATAACTTGTGAAATGATCAGTGAGCCTCTAGGTCAGGGGTTCTTAACCTGGGATCTGTGATTTTGTTGCGTTTTTTTTTTAAATTTTCTTAATTATATTTCAAAGTTTCCTTTGATGTCCTTTGCATTTTATTTTATGCATTTAAAAAGATTATTCTGAAATGGGGTCCAGAGGCTTCACCAGACAGCCAAAGCGGTCATGACACAAAAAAAGTTAGGAACTCCTGCCTTAGAATCATAGCTATAGAGCTTGAAGGTACTTGAGGTCTCAGCTAACCCACTCTTCCCTAACTTAGATTCTTTAGTTTGTAAATAAATTTATTTTTTATTACAAACTTAAAAAATCCATCCTGCATTTTTGAGATGAAGAAATTGAGCCCAGAGAGGTTAAAGTGATTTGCCCAAAGCTAGAACACTAGCCAGTGGTGGAGTCCAGAATCTGCTATAAGCTATATGACCTCAAACCCAGGGCTCTATTCACTCTGCCACACTGCCTCCTCTTATGAGAAAAGAAAAAAAAGAAAAAGAAAAGATGATATTCGTTAACCAGTTGAGGTTTTTCGTTTATTTTTTTTTCTGCCCATCAATGAAAGGCTCATCAGGCTCTTCAGATTATACGAATCACCTTGGATTCAGAAGCAGATACATACCCAAACCTTCTGATTCAAAGAGGCATGTTTCGTCCACCCCTACATCTCGGCACCAGGATAAGAAATTGGCTGTGTTGTCTCTGGCAAAGAAGGATCCTGAAGGTGCACTGGCTTTGCATGGAATCTTCCTCATGGGCAGGCACTGTGGAAACAAAGAAATCTCACTCTGCTGGGAACACATCTGGTCAAATCATCCTAGGAGTGCATGTCAAAGAGCCATTTATGTGTACCATGAAACTCCCTTACAATGATCTCATCTCTAATGATTCCTTGCGCAGACCTGTAGGAAGGGAAATGAAATGCCAATGAAACTGATACGGTGACCCACGGTGTGTGAAAACCTGTCCCCATCAAAGACTAAGCATTATTGGGACCACGCATTTTAAGCCTCAAACAGGAAAGGCCTGGGGGCCCTTATCCTGTCTCTATTCCTTCCTCTTTCCTTTCTTCTCTGATATTTTCCCTTGGGAGACTCTAGATAAGCAGTTCACTTGATATCACTATCTGCAGTTTCTTTCCAGATATTTGCTATTTACTTATCTCTGTACATGATCTCCAACCCCCATAGAACATAAAGTCCATTAAAGGCAGGATCTGTTTTGCTTTTGTCTTTTTATCCTCAGCACCTGGCCCGGTGTAGACATTTAATAAGGTTGTCAAATGAGTGAGCAGAGCCTCTGATGCAAATAAAAACCTCAAATGCCTTCATGGATTTTATTTGCCTATAGTCAGGTATTGCTGCCTAGACATCATATGTACACAGAAAAAGGATCATGCTGGAAGGGACATCCAGAATGGCCCCAACCCCTTACTCTCTTGAACCCATATTAAAGAAAGATTATTATTTAGGATCTTCAAGGAATGGAATTCTCTAATTTTTCTCCAAATTCACCACTTCAGAGTCTATTGGACTGCTCTATACAAATTTCCAATCTGTACTATTTCATTTATCCCCAAACGTAGCAGTCTTGCTCCATGGCATTCTGTAGGAAAGAAGAGAAAATAATACAGATAAAGGCAAGGTGTGAACTTGACCTAACTAGCTTATTAAGTTAACCATTTTTGAGAATTTTGTCCTGGAAATCATATGAAGAAATTAATGATAGAATATGACTAATTAATACATTGATCCAATGTAAAAAAAAATTAAATGCAAATTTCAGGTAAGTACCTTGATAATTCAGGGCTAAATTAACAAGAGAAAAAAGTCTTTGAACTGGCCAGATAGTCAAGGCAGAGTTATTTTTGTGAATTATGTTAGTAGAATAATTGCTTCAATTCTCTACTTCACTTTGTATGTGCAGCTATAAATGCTCTTGATGAGGTTAAAATGGTTGTGAAAAATTAATAGAAGAGACAAGTAAAATTGTTTAATATAGTCCTGCAAAAAAATCAAATATTCTATGACCTTTTCCTAGTCTTCCAGCCCAGTGACTTTATGGCTATGTGTACTTAAATGAAATTTTCAGTTATTTGAATAAAAAATTCAGTTACTCATCCAGTTTGACAAACTTCTAAAAACATACTACTAAAATACCTACTATGTGTACTTTACTTGCTGCTGGGATGCAAAAATAAAGTAAAACCTCAAGCAGATTGTTTCTACAGTCTTCTAGGAAGGAATGTAGTGTATATAAAGGTGAATAAATGTAAGACAAATTGAGAGGAGAGAAAACACTAACAACTTAGGTGGCGGGATGGGGAGAGAGACATATCAGGAAATGCTTCCCACAGGTGCCACCAAGCCTGAACCTTGAAGGAAACTAAGGATGCTAGAAAGAGGTTTATTTTAACACTTAAAGAATAGGGATAGAATCATTTATCCAAAGAACGCAACTAGTTTGGTGAATATGAATTTTTATGTTCAAATGACTTTAATTTATTAATTATTTTGTGCATAAAATTAACTTCAGATTGGAGTGATTCCCCACAAATAGTTAATTCCAAAAATACAGTCAACAAGAGGCAGCATGGTAGAGTGAAGTAAGTTCTGCCTTATTTGGAGTGAGAAAGACTTGGGTTCAAATGATGCTTCAGCTACTTTTTAGTTATGTAATCCCAGGCATGACTTATCAGTTCTGTGCCTCAGTTTCCTCATCTGTAAAATTAGGGTATTGGCCTCAATTGCCTATATCAACCCTTCTAGTTCTAAATCCATGATACTAAGATATAGAAAGAAAACTGACTCCCACATGATTTAATATCGCACTCTGTGGTATTTCTCTCTCCCAACCATGGTCCTGTGGTATACTATTGAGAGAAAATGGAAGGGTTTCCCAGCCCTAAGCCTTATAATCAGTCTCTAGAGTTTCTATTTCATCTTCCAGACCCTATAATTTACAACTCGGCTATTCACTTTTTTTGACTCCATGAGCCTCCAGATTACCCTCCCAATTGCTAATGACAATGTCAAAATTGTTGCATTTTAGTATTGTTAGTTATGGAGTTCTAATATAAAAGTGAACTATTATCATTCAGAGTAGTGGTAGTAGCAGTCATTGCTTTGAATTCTCTCCCTAACTCTTATGTTTGTGAAGCTATAAGAACATAGGATCACATGAGATCTATCTTAATCCCCACCATTGCTAGCATTCCCTTCCCAAATATTCCTTTTTTATTTACTTATCTGCACACATATTGTCTTCCCCAGTGGAATATAAGCTTCTTGAGGTCAGGAACTTATGAACTTATGAACGTATGAACTTAATGAATGCTTGTTGGATGAAAGGAGGGATGTAATTTTAAGGGAGAAGATAATGAATTCCATGTTGGAAATTTTGAGTTAGAATGTCAATGGGATATCCAGGAGAGATATCAAATAGGCAATTGGTGATATGGAACTGGACTTCAGGATTTAGAGAGAAGCATCATGGATTCATGGGTAGAGAGCCATCCTCAAAGTCAGGAACACCTGGGTTCAAGATCTATCTCTACTACATCCTGACTGTAGGGGAGTAGGCAAGTCATTTGACCTCTGCATGCTGTAGGCATCTCTCCCAGACTATAATTTGCAGAGCAGCTGCCAATTTGCATTGGCAGAGGGAGTTTCCTCCATGGGAGTTTTCTATGCCAATGAAATCATAGGTCCAGACCAATTTTTATATAGATTTGGAACTCAGGCAACTTCACATATCAAAATGGATTGAAAATTTTACTTGGTTATTTTACTATAACTTACAGGATACACCTAACTTGTGAGATATTTACAAAATATATTCACATATTATGTATATATTCATATATTCTGTACATATATTCTGTGCATCATGAGTACCTATATACCACATGTGGATGCATATAGACAGGTATACTATTTATAGTGACAAATATACTGTACATCTTCTTATAGCTCTATTGATAAAAATCTTTGGAAAGATATCCTCTCTGGGTCTTGGTTTCTTCATCTTGAAATGAGGGTATTGGATTAGAAGATTGCTAAAATCCTTTCCCTCCTTAAATCCTATAATCATATGAGGAGAGGCCAAGGACAAGTAAATTATTTAGAGCTTTACAATAGAGAGCTAACACTACCAGGAATACTGCAATATCTTTATCTTCCTACCAACAAAGATATTCCTGGGGAGAGATTTAATTCTATGGGCATACTTACCTACAAAAAAAGACCCCAAAAACCAGAAGTGGTAGGTGCTAAGAAATTGGTTAGTGCAGCCTGGAAAATATGATATTGAGAAGTCACTTGCATGAGCTTTGACCCAACAAATAAAATGCAATTAATCTTTTCTACAAGATTGTTAAAGCATTGAGTTCTCTATATAAACATAGATGTCATTCTTCCTGGAAAATTCTTCGCTCTAGTGTGAAAAAGCATGACAGCAGTTTTTGGCAAGTTAAAGTAGAGCTAGCTATCAAAACACCATAACTTAGGAATCCAGAGGAAACACTAGTTTAGTCATACAACCTGGCAAAGAAGGCGATTTATGGAGCATCTCTGTCTGTTCTGGAGGTGGTAGTTAGATTTAAGTCTTTAGGCTTGCCAGATAGCATCTCTGGCCATTTCCACCTATACTTATCCAAGACAAAGCATTTTAGTAGCTAGAATTTGTTAAATAACTCCAAACAATTTAAATCATCCTGAACATCTCACCTAAAATATCTACAAATCATGTCATATTGGCTGAACGGTTGTTGCCCAACCCCCTTAAAATTCAGGATTCAGTAAGAGACCTATGTCAGAGGTCATCTTTTTTGTAGGATTGTAGCTTCCCTCAACTAGAAGCCAAAAGGTCAGCCAAATGACCAATGCTTATGATCAATGCGTTTGTGAACAAATATTTTCAAAGGGAAATCAATGAATGTCCTTGCAAAGGACTCTATCATGGTGACATTGGATCATTTTAGAATTAGAAAAAAACCTTTTGCTTCATTATTATCCATACAATTTCAAGGTATCTAGAGGAGGGTCTTCAATATGTTATGTGGACCCCCATGGAGAATTTACAAGAAGATATTGGCAAGAGTTTTCTTTGATGAGCTATTATCAGTGGGTTTAAGTCAGCATCTTTGGATAGAGTACATGCATCAGTAAGTTCACAGATGAAAGTATGGCTTTAAATTTTTTGCTGTACATTTTTATGAAACACCTGCAAAGCAGGTGATAGCAGTGATGTCAGATGATGATTGCTCCCTCTGCATAGTATGCTTTGGAGATATTTTATATAAGATGTTCAAGAATGATTTGAATTGCCTTACCATTTAAAAAATACATCCTAGCTACAAAAATGTTCTGTTTGGACCAAGGCTAGAAGTTGCCAGAGGTTCTGTTTGGCAGGGCACAAAAGTATGAATCTTGCTGTGATGAGGACCCTTTCAGCTATGTAGTCCTGTCATTTTATAAATCTACATAAAAATCAAATATTCTAAGAGAGAAATGAGCTTTGAAATCTCTCAATAAAACTGTATTATCCAATTCAACAATTCACCAAGCATTAATCAAGTAGTTGGTTTATAACAAGCACAGCACTACGTGCTAGGGATACAAAGACATACATTTAAATAGATTTTGCCTGTCAGTGTGCTCACGTTTGACTTGGGAGAAAAAACATGTGCACATGACTTCCCTCAAGAAAGTTTAGTCAATGGGTTTGAGCCCCTAATCCAAGTCCAACTCGGACTCTGATGCCA